AGGGTTATCAGTTCTTTGATGAATGTGGAGCTTTGAAAGTTTGTAAGGGTGCCCAAGTTATATTGGAGGGATAGAAAAGGTCACAGTTATACATCTTGCAGGGTCATACAGAATTTGAAAGAGTCAATCAGCATAGGTTCAGTACCTAGTGGACATTCAGTTTGGTACAATATCTTTAGGAGCTCATAAATGATCATATTTGAATAATACAGCTCAGTGGAGTTTTGAAGACATGGATGATACCGATTTACCACCATCACATGTGGTGCCATTGTATTCAGTTGCTAGAGTTAGACCTAGTGGAACAAGGTATATGGATGTTGATTTTGTTGAGCATGCTTTAAGTGGAGTAGAAGGTGTACAATCTAGCAAGAGGCCTTCTTTAGAAGCATTTGGGTTTGATTCTACTTTGGGTGTGTTACAGCCCATTTTGGTAAATTATAAAATCATTATGATAGTTTTGGAATCTAAGGTAATTGTGTAGAATAGTGCTTGGATTCATTGGAAGAGGTGGAGTATTTTGTGTTTGGTTGGAGAAATTAATTTTTTGGTTATTGTTGAAGAAGTCGTTCATTCCTTGGTGGAATTCGTGTCAAGATAGAGATTGTTAGAATTTGGGCGTGACTCGAATTCCTTGTTGAAATAATTGAAGAATTCTGATTGAAGTGCACATCAAGAAGAATTCAGTTTGAAATGCTATTGGAGTCATATATCAAGTTGATGTTCTATTTTGGAAGCCCATTAGGAGTTGAAATGTTTTGGACTCAATTTTTTGGTATCCTACTTTATCAACAACTGTACTAAGAAGGTTTGGATGTCCCCTATATGTTTCTTATAAATACTAAGCTCTTCTATATAATTTTATGATGTGAGAAAATAGATTACTAGAATTATAGGATCTATTGTAATTTTCTCTCTTCTCCATTATTTTTGAGTCAATAAAATTTATTAATTCATTTGTCATATTCTTGTCTTTATTATTCTTTTGTTTGATCAAATACTTCATTATTATTTGCCATATAACTTCAACATCTCAATCCGGTGGTTTGTTTCACAATAATTAATGTCAGAGCTATTCTGGTATCTTGTTTGTTCTACAACATTACCAATAATGAAATTGTCATTTGCTAATATGTTAGAAAACTTGGACTGCTCTTTGAGGACTCGACTGTCCAGAACTTTTTGAGAACCACAAGAAACATATTTAGAGGGTGTTTTGTAGAGATTAAAATTGAAAAATCAGCCGTTATTGTTGACTTTTATTAAATGAGTGGGACCCAATAACGGCTATATTTTCAATTTTAATTGGATTTTGAGCCGTACCAAACAGGCCCTTAGAGCAAAATTGAAAGACTTCAAGAAAGCTTAACAAAAACTTTTGATCAAAATATTCAAATTTTTTATATTAATGATTAACTTAAAATTTATGTTACAACAATTAAGAAGTGGTTACAATTAATGTTAAATAACTTTTTTCTAAAGTTAAATATTATAACTATTAAAAGTACTTTTTTTCAAAATGATACATGGTATTGGTAGCGTTGGCTTGATTGTGGATGGTCCCGATAAGTGAGAGGAATGGAAAAATTAGTCCCTTAAAGAGCACTGCGGAAAACTAGAGATAGGTAAATTTCAACACCCAAGGCCTGTACCAAGTCAACTTGTCATAATATTGAAGGGAAAATTGAGATGAAGGTCTCTAACTTATTGAATTAGTGGAAAGAGATCCCAACTTTTTTTATTTTCAATTAACATTAAAACTTAAAAGTCAATAAGACTCGTATACAGGGGTGGATCCAGCCCCCGGTGAGGCGAGGCGGCCGCCCATGCTGGATCCGTCGAATAAAAAAGATTAAATGAAGATTTTATATTAAATATATATAAATGTTAGAGCATAGAAGTTACTGAATAAGCATTATAACTCAAGTCGTTGAATACTTACTTTTCACGGGAGATGTATGGGGTTCGAATCCTTCCATTGTTTCTCTTTCTTTTAATGTTTTGACATATTAAGAAATAAATAAAAACTATACCAATTTTTAACCAATAAATGGTGTTTCTCAGCATAAATTTTACATGACAAGCAATGTATCTCAAATGGTTGTGTGCTCACTCTCCATATAAAATGAATGGGGTTCGATTCCTTTCACTTTCACTCTTTATTTTAATGTTGTGACAAATAATAAATAAAAATTGTACCAATTTTTAACCAATAAATTTTTAACCAATAAAGGGTGTTC